TGTAAATGGTTATTTTGAGGAGCTTGACGAATCAGTCTATAGAGATGGCATTAATAGACTGGAACACCGCTATGAGAAATGTATCAGCCTTGGAGGAGATTATGTTGAGAAATAAAAAAAAAAAATTTTTAAAAACCTTGTTTTTCTTGGTCAGGCCGGAAACTTATCAATCCACCCTCGTATAATTGTATTTGGAATTATGCTACGGCGCATCCTAATCAAGGGAAGGGGCATATCTCCAACTTTTTGAAACGAACAGTAGGACACCTTCTCAGGCATGAAGGTTTAGTCAGAGGCATATTAGAGGCAGAAACGAATGTTAGGAGGGGTACAAGTAGGCCTAGATTAGATTATTATTTATAAATAGTTAAGGATGCAAGTTGTTCTAATTTTAGGGAAATGCGAAGATTAGCTCAGGATATGAAAGAATGGAGGTGCGTGTCCGACGAGTATTACTACTGAAATGTATGGAATCTAGAAATTGTATACAATTCCTAGGAAATGTATACAATTCCGAGGCTATTTTGGAAGTATAAAATATTGTTTTAAAGATTTTAATACACACATATTCTGGGAAATGTATACATATATGTAAAATTCCGATATTGTACTAAGATATGTATAAAATTAAAATGTTCTGTGAATAAAATACTCTAGCATATCAGCTCGCCTCCGGTGTACAATTCCTAGATTTCATGCATTTCCGGTAATACTGATTTTAAACTAACACCAGGTGTAACGATTTTTTTGAAATTTTTGAATTAAGGAAGGAACCTGTTAAAGTTGAAATATATATCAAAATAAGAAAACATGATTTACCGATAAAAACATATTAATTACAACAATATCACAGCTGACACCCTGAGAGTAATGACCACGAGATCGCAAAGCACTTTGAACCACTTAGTGATATACATATAATAAATTCATTCGGTGAGTAGTTCTCTGAAGAAGTCTCCTATGAAATTACGATATCTGGGGAAGATAAAAAAACTAGTAGGTATCTAGAGATACTTAGAGGTAGCAACGTTCAAATTTTATTTTAATGAAACGGAAATTAAAAAAAAAAATAATTCACTGGAGTTAATACACCAGAAGGTTTGTTTTATCATGTTATACATATAACGAAACGTTTAACTGTTGAGAGCCGTGCCCCGGCTGCAAAGGCTATATCATGAGTTCTTGCAATTTAATTTAAGTTCGTGGGATTTGAGGGGTTGGTAAATGAAAAGGTACTTATTTTATCGTTCACATGAAAACGGTTTAATTTTTGCAACAGAAAAATAATGAGCCATAGAAAAATTACGGAGGACACTTGGAACATAATTACATACGGAAGCGTGGTTGTTTAATGAAATTCAAGCGTAATATGAATCGTACATTTGATTTTCATAATTTTTGAAAGTATATTCTGTATAAACCACCGCTATAAAATGAGTTAGCAC